TAACACCTATTTTTCCTCTCAGGCCCGTATCAAAACCGACCTAAAAAACTTGCGCGACATGATGGTGTTCGCGTTCGTGATGATCAACGCGCTGTTCGTGCTGGTCATCTTCCTGCTGCAGCTTAACCAGGACTTGCTGCACTTCAAGTGGCCCTTCGGACAGCAGGTGGTGATCAGTTACGACGAGGATGCGAATCTTGTGAGTATATGAGTATTAGTGGCCGCCCGCGACTTCGTACGCGTGGATCCCGTTTTACCTCCTTTTAGGGGTTGAGTTTTGCAAAATCCCGTCTTAGTGAGCACCTACGTTCTAAAAGGAACTTCCATGCAAATTTTGAGACTCCTAGCACTTGTAGTTTCTGAGATTTCGTGATGAGTGAGTCAGTCAGTCAATCAGTCTTGGTGATTTTTGGTAGCTTTGAGATATATCTCACCAGCACGCCACAAGTTGTAGGATTGAAAAGAAAATGGAAATGGTACCACATAAATTACCTACCCTCTTGAATTTATGATCTGTATTTTTTTTTATTTATCTCTGTTCATCTGTACCAACGATTTTGCCATTTCATTTTACTGTTACAAATGTTGACCGGTTTCGATTTGAATTTGATAAAGTGCTCAACCTATCGATTTCAATTTAACAAAGTGTTATTTGCCCATTTCAAGGTGACCCTGAACCGCGACTACCTGATGCTGGAGCCTATTGGGTCTTTGTTCCTGATCTTCTTCGGGTCGGTGATGCTGATTCAGTTTACCGCCATGTTGATGCACCGCCTTGGGACGCTCAAGCATCTGCTGTCCACTGTGCAACTCAACTGGTACTTCACTAAGAGGGTAAGGGGATATTGGTTTTGAGTTGTCTGTGTATTGTTTATTCGTAGGTGATAGAAAGTTTGGACCATAGGTCATTTACTAGAATGGCCCTTTAGGCCTCACGCTGTACACGGTAAAACTAGTTAGAGCCATGTGGAGTCTTTTAGACTGGAATTATATGAAAACCAATTTTTAAAATTATTAATTTTAGGCCTGAGAACAGTCAGTTATATTTATCAGTCAAATTTGTGTATTAAAAAAAATAGTTTGCAGCCTGTAATTGAGTCAATAATCGTTTATTGATTTTGATTGAAACGAGAGATGATTATTATATTAAAATGTATGCCGCATTTTGACAGCTGATAATAACATCAATTTATTGCTCAAACAATTATAAATATAACATTACTTTCACAGCCGGACGAGCTCACACAACACGCTCACATTGAGAAGAACGCCATAGAAATAGCCAAAGACCTGCAGAAGTTAAATATGGACGACTTGGACAAGGCGGGCGTGGACGAAAACCACGTGACCCGCCGCAAGACGCTACACAATTTGGAGCGCGCGCGAGAAACCAAGACTAACATCATGAATTTGGACACCAACTTCAAGCGGCGCATGATGAACCCCGAGCCAGGTAACATACTGTAACATACGCAACGTGACCTAGCAGTCATGGATCTTCATGGCATTACCTAGGAGAACATTCTGGAATCAGACGATAAACAAATGAGAATCGTGAAAAAGGATGGACCAAAAATTGTTGAATCGAATTGAAAATCTGATTGATTGTGAGGCTGTGACTCAACGGCAAAGAACACGATGCCCGAATGTTCCTTTAACTAGCGTCAACTATGAAAAACACTACGTTTGCCGTGACGTCTGTACTTGGGAATCTGTTTACTAGTCATAGATTCTTAGACGAATATAGCTGGAGTATTACCATTAGCTTACTATATTTTTGGACCATATTTGTTACTTTGAGGTCATGTCATGATCTCGTTCCAGTTTTTATAACAAAGACAACCTAATAAGCAGTCCATTTATTTTATTTTCAGAGATAATATCACGTCTGTCTTCGCTGGGCGGTAACGCGAACACGCGGCGAGCGACGCTACGCGCGCTGCAGACGCGGCGCGAGTCAGTCATAGCTGAGCGACGCCGATCGCAGATGGAGAAGGCGAGGGAATCCACCTCGGCTTACCTTTATGATGCTCCGAGCAACAACGTAAGTATACGCTAGGCATTATCTGCTACGTATAGTCACTATTTATTAGCAAAACGTTGGGCTTTGATAGTATTTAGAAAATGTAGTCACTATTGAAATGATGAATATATTGTATTGCAACTACTGGTTTCAAGTGGTGGATAGTCGCTAGTACTATAGTCCGGTCGCCGAGCACGTAGAATTTCGTCCAATGACCCCATCCTTATCACTCGCGCGTAATTATATTGCTGTCGCGCTCGCACTCTCACTGCTGCCACCCGTCGCACTATGATGTAGTGGTGCGCGATGCGCATACGTATAAGTAACTGCCACTACTACTTCGTTTTTGACTAGTTGGCGTATTTAGTAGGTAACTCTTTCGCATGCTGCCAATGCTAACCTCCACATCTCGTCGAAGTGCCTTTAATTATAGGTGATGAATAACCACGAATGCTAGGCTAGTTGCTGAAGGCAAATTCCAGTTCTAATAGTCAAATACCACTAAATGTTCTACAGTGGCCCAAGTTTGAACCAATTGATTGCACATAATATTAGCTATTAAATTGTTATCTATCACGTATTTGTTAATATTTTTAAACTGTATTAGTGTACCCCGTCGGTAACACGTAATGTATATCTTAATGAATAAAACAGTTTTAAACGGTATTTTTTTACTTTTAGTTGAATGAGATGGGCGGGCGGCGGTCGACGCTGGGCTTCCTGAACAAGGGCTACGAGCCGGCGCTGGACAGCGACGAGGACGAGGGTCCGCGCGCGCGGCCCAGCGTGCGGTTCAAGCAGGACTTGTGATCATATACTACATATTATTCTTATGTTATTGTTGTAAATAAATCATACCTATTTAATTTAAACTTTCTTTCATTTTTTTCAATATGTACTTGATTAATGGAAATCGATATTAGTTCAGTCATTTAAATTGGTACAAAATAATGGCTTTACCTGGAATGTTTTCCGAGAGTAATGAAAATTGGTATTTATATGTATAGATTTCGATGTGCTCTTTACGAATTTCAACTTTGCGACCTCGTATGGTTGCCGCTCTAAATTACCAAATGACTGGACTATATTTGAATAGAAGAGAAAATACAATTGAGCAAAGAAAAACTGCGTAGGTAAGGTATTTTCGTGCCAAAAAAGCGCCCGATCAGTTGTATATGACACTAGTTTTCAGCGGATGCCTCACCAGCCAATAGCCGTAGAGAATGCACGGTGTACAACGCTTACTATTTTTGGTGTAATTTGTTTATTTATGTAGATATGCGGTGGATCTAAATAAAGTAAGTATAAACAGATCTAAGTTATACCAGTTAAACGAAATACCTGTCATTATATCTCAGAGATAGTAACTAACTATGTAGGTAGAATTTTTTTTTTTGTAATTAAATTAAGATAACAGTCTCACTATGATAAAATTTTTGAAACCTATCTCTCGATGGAGTATCTGATTGTTTTCCTCATCTTGCCTGTCCTTGCTGTCGTTTTAATGAGTGTTGATAAAGGTATCTTAGCCCGATCTAACAGCTCGATCTGACAGCATTAAAAATTAGGCTCTGCGCAGTGGCGGATTTACCAATAGGCCAAGTAGGCCAGTGCCTAGGGCGGCAGATTTAGAGGGGCGGCAAATTTTGCTAATTTTTTTTTTACAGGAAAAAAATAATAATTATACGTATACCTACACAATCCATATATAAATAAACGATTAATAAACGCACTGTAATATATACTTAGGTACCTACTTACTCGTATGTGATCATGAATTTTAAAATATTCCGATAGCGTTTCAATAAAAATAAAATAAAAAACTCGTAACACAGGATCTTCGGAGCCTAGCACGAGCACCATCTCTCCACAATTTCGTGTATATTGTTTTACAGGGTGGCCCAGAAGAAAATTCACTTTTGAAAATTCAAGGAAACGAAAACTGTACATTTTTGTAGAACTTAAGCTATTGCAATTTAAAGGAAATTTAGTGCAATTTATTTTAAAATTTACTATCTTTTATAAATTTTATCGTACATGTGATTCCCTTGACGTTTACAACATTCGGTCAACATACATCAACTTTTTGGAAAACTTTCGTAAGCGCTCCTGCACACGATGCCGCTACCGCGCCGTCGCCGCGCCTTTGTACTGTTTATACGCGCCGCGTGAACACCGCTGCCGCGCAGCCGCCGCGCCGCCGCCGCGCCGCGCAGGAGCAGGAGCCCTTAGGCCTCAGCCTCGAATTTAGCGGGGAGCGGCGGCGGCGCGGGAGCGGGGCGGGCAACGCAGACCCGTTCTCCAAACAAGCGGGCAGCTCGCGCGGCACTTTAGCGGCGAAGTGTTGGTGTTGTGTTCGGGGTTGTGTAGTCGAGATATTTGTTTTTATTCGCGAACGAAATTTCTGAACAACGGCGACAATTTTTTTTCGATTAAAATTTATTCCTAACGCTCGATTTATTGTGGGCAAAAGAAGACGCCGCGCCGCTAGACTGGAGTGCGCCGCCCGCTCGTTGCCCGCTCCCGCGCCGCTGCCGCGNAATAATGTAAGACTTATTTGATCACATTGTCTGTCCCCATTAACTGGATTGTTAACATGTTATATTTTAATAGAAATTGTTTGTATTGTTTTTAAACTGTTAAGTCCAATAAAAAATATTTACCAAAAACAATGTTTACTGACCACACATTATTTTGTCTGTGTTCATATAGTGTAGGTATTTTTAAGTCATGCCTTTGCCCACCTTAGGATTAGTACATACTGCAGTTTTTAGGTCAACATTAAACTCTTCAGTACATAGCGGGTTGCAATAGTAATCTAGTAACTGACAGAAATATCATTAAGTTCACAATCATACTAATAACGGGATTAAACTAACGTATTGAATTTCAAAAGTCAGTAGGGGCGGCAAAAATTGAATGGCCTACTAGCGGCAAATTTGTAAATCCGCCACTGGCTCTGCGTTATGTTTTCCAGTATTGATTGTACGATAAATCCATGTGTAATTTTGACTATCATGAAATAGGACAGTGCCCATAGGTTTACGTCCCGGGACTTGATCGTAGGCTAAAATCTTAGGCCGAATATTGTTTTCTACCTTTTTAAATATGCATGAAGATTTAACAATGTCATTTTTTTTAGTTTACGTAATGTAATCAAAACTTTTTTGTTGGTGAGATATGAGACTGGTCTAATCACCAACAGATAAAATCACCTACGAACGGCTACCTATTAATTATTACGTGTCGCGTAGATAATAATCACTGATATACAAATATTTGTGCATATCAATAGGAAACAACAAGTGAATTGGTTGCGTTAAAGGTAAATTAGGTATTAATTTATAGACACATTTTAGCAATAATTCATTCTGAATCAGAAAGTTAAACAATCGTCCTGACTGTTCTACATTAATCGTGATAAAATATAAATAATTGTAATTCGTTTTGATGCTAGTTGGCTATTAAATAGGCTTATTTTATTATAATTTATTTTATTTACTAATTAAGTAACTGTGAAAGAGAGGTACGTTAATTTACTTTAAGACTATGTACTTCATTAATACGCAAGCATTTTTATGTTACAGGATCATTTCACAAAATGGTATCATCATTGATACTGCTAAGTTGCATGTTCATGCTTGGGGTTTTATTGCTGCAATTTGACTATTCCTTTATCTGGTCTTGGATTGATGACCAGCTTTTCGGACAGGCGGCGACTGGCATTCTTTACGATGTGGATGCAAACGTGGTAAGATTTAGTTTTTTGTGATAGATAGGTTTAACACCCGTATTCACAAACGATACTTGCACAGTGAAGCAGCAAATCGAACGCACAGCGTAGAATAGAGCTCTAATTGGTTCGTGTTTCACCCTGTACGTACACGCGCACTGTGAGACCTCATAGTAATCTTTGTGAATACGAGCGTTAGTATTGGCAGGCTAAAGAGATGGGAAGGATTTAGGCAAGTCTTTTGCCAACTTATCTTTGTAGTTCGCAAGCAACAGCTAAACAGCTTACTTAGATTATGGTGCAGTGAATACTCGTATCTATGCTTCTTTATTGCTTTATTTTGCTTGATTACATTTTAAAATAACACACTAGAGCCGTAACAAAACATGCTAGCTGGGTTTGCGCAGTATTTCTTTGCTTACGATAGCTTTTTTAAGGCACTTATTCACAAACGATGCTTCCTTATGTGAAGCGCAAATCGAACGCACAGTGTTGAATAGAGCTCTGTGATTGGTTCGTGTGTCACCCTGTGCGTCCACGCGCACTGTGAGACCTCATAGTAATGTTTGTGAATACGGGCGATAGAATTTTACAGTTTACTTCCCATTTAATATTTTTAGGTGCGCATTGATCGCACGACTGCAAGCTGGTCAATGATGTGGCTGGTCCTGATGTTTTTCGGAGCAGTCTTGGTCTTCCAGTTCGGTATAATGATGTTCTACCAAATGCGCGGCCTCCAGATGTTGCTTCATGCCGGCGGAGTAAGTAGTAACATGTATATTCTAAGCACATTAAAATATTGTAAGCGAATATGTGGATATGACAGTGAATAAATAGGTACTTACGCCCGTATTCACAAACATTACTATGAGGTCTCACAGTTCGCGTGGACGCACAGGGCAGCACAGGGTGACACGAACTAATCACAAAGCTCTATTTAACGCTGTGCGTTCGATTTGCTGCTTCACTTAAGCAAGCATCGTTTGTGAATACGGGCATTAGTGGATTATCAAAGTGCCGTTAAAGTTTGCAGCATCTGGAAATAAAAAAAATACCTGTTAATTGTTGCATTTTTTTTAAGTTGCTAATTTTCAAACTACCGATTATACTTTAGTATATTTAAAGCTCATTTGGATTTTCACAGCGAGAAGAAAATGACCATCAAACCAGGAAAGCCATAAAGATCGTCAAAGAACTCCAGACCTCTAACGACGGGCCCCGTAGGAAGATTCCCTCGAAGAACCCTCGAAAACGGCTTCAACAAAATAAATGATTAGACTAGTAGTTCTATAAAAGCATGTTTTATTCGTTTCGACTGCCAGTATTTTTCCATATATGTAAAATTTTTGTTTAGCAAGTAATGATTCTCATCGCGTAACCTACAATCGTATTACATTAAAATTAAGTGACTTTTGGAAGAGATAACGAACAGAGAAGATTTATGTCAAAAAGCTTCCTTTTCTTGTAAGTTTAGATTCAGCGGCCAGTGAATGAATTATTTATTTTACTACGCCTTGTACGTGGTGTCATTTCAGTCAAAGAAAAGAGTGAGCGAAAAAAAAATGTTTTTCTTCTGCTTTTAATAAATATTTAAA